TTGTTATAAGTAATATAAAATATGATATAAATAAATATTTATGTTTAAGCCTGTTGCTTCCCTTGAAGTTGGGCAATAATTTAAATTTTTAAAGCTTTTTGTTACTTGTATCTTGGGTTGCATTGTATAGATTAATAAATTATGTGGATTAATAAATAACAATTTGTAAAAAGTTAAGATTTGCATGAAGATGCTAATAATATATGGGAGGGCATAAGATTATACTAGTTTTTTAGATTATGCATTCCATCTCAAATGGTAGTTGGGTTGGTTACATTCTCAAATGACATTTTTTATGATCTCATTTGTATTTTCAAAGCAACATTAGACAATAGTCTGAAGTGTTGACAGTTGTGAAGAAGTCCTGTGCAATGATGCTTCATCAGATAATAAGTGATATTTTAAAGCTTGTGACGGTCAGCAAAGCGTGGCTGCAGCTACTCGTGTGTCAGTTTTAAAAGACAAGGACAGGTACCCAAAGGAGAAGAAGCTGTCAGCCTCTTTAGTCACTTAAGGCTAAATGTCTTTAGGTTAAGAATGTTTGGATAGACACTTCTGTTTAACTCTCCTACTAAATATAGCTGAAAGGTGGAGTTAGACTGACCAGCGAGAGTCTGTGGGGCTGTTGGCACCAGGGTGGTATCAGCAGAGGCCTGGTGGGGAGCCAGAACTCTCAACGCTCTGCAGCCCCACCCACCCAGAGGTACCAAGATGCGTCTGTCCTCCCTGCCCTGGGAATTACCAAAGGCGGTAGAGTTTTCACTCCTGAGTGATGGTACTGAGCTGGATCCTCCTTCCTGTGTAACAGAAGACCTGCTAAAACAAGATTTGAAAAGATCCAAAGTCTCAAAACAATACCCAGAATATCCAGGTTTCAATAAAAATAACTCCACCAAGAAGCAGGAAAACCTCAACTAAAATGTGAAGACAGTCAACAGACACCAACCCTGAGACAGCACAGATGTTGGAATTATCTAACAAGGACTTTAATGCAGCCTTCAGTAAGCAATTAACAAACCTGCTTGAAACAAAAAATAGCAGCCCTAGCAAAGAAATAGAAGCTATAGAGAAGAATCAAATGGAAATTTTAGAACCAAAAAATAGTAATACTTGATTTTTTTTTTTTAAGCAAATGCAGTTGAATGGGCTCAGTGGAGAATGGAGATGACTGAGGAAAGAATAGGAGGACTTGAAAAAGAGGAAAAGAATTACTCAATCTGAACAACATAAAAAAAAAAAGACTGAAAAAGTAGTTTTAGGATCTTTGGAACTGTTTAAAAAGATCTAACAGTCATGCCTTTTTAGTACTGAAAGGAGAGAAGAAAAAAGTGACAGGGCTGAGAAAATAACAATAATGAAAAATAATAGCAACTGAAAACTAGAAATAATAGCTGAAAATTTCCCAAATTTAATAAGAGACATCAAGAAGTTGAGCAAACCTCTTACATGAAACCCAAAGAAATCCATGCCAAGATATATCATAGTCAAACTTATTCCAACTAAAGGCAAAGAAAATAATTTTAAAAGCATTCAGTAAGAAATGGCACATTGCCTATAAGGCAAAAACTGTTTGAATGACAGTGAATTTCTCATCAGATAACATGGAGGCCAGAAAGAAATGACACAATATTTTTGAAGGAGTAAGAGAACCGAACTGTCAGCAGAGAAGTGTATATCCATTGAAAATATGCTCAGGACTAAAGAACAGTGTCATTCTTAGATGAAGGAAAGGAAGATAATTTGTCATTAATAGATCTGTCCTAAAAGAATGTATAAAGGAATTTCTTGAAATAGAAAGGAAATGATAAAAGATGGAATCTTGTTATATAAAGAAAGAAGATAGAATAGTAGCAAGAGTAAAAATATAGTAAATATAGTAGCCTTTTCTTCTTGAGTTTTCTAAATAGTGTTTGACATTTTCTGTTTTGCTATTTTCAAAAATTTTAACACTATCAAATGTGGTTCTCAGTGTATGTAAAGAAATATTAAAATTATAATGGGGACAGGTAAAGGGCCTTAAAGGTGATATTTCTGTACTACAGCATATGAAGTGCTGACACCAAAATGAGTAGTGATAAATCATATATAATCAAATACCTGGAGCAGCCAATTAAAAAAAAAATCTATTCAAAGAGATGTGCTCAAATACATTTTATTTATTTATTTTTTTCAAATACATTTTAGATAAATAAAAATGGAATTCTAAAATATATTCAGGTAACTATAGGAATAAAGGAAAAGAAAGCAGGTAAAATAAAAAAAAATTAAAAATTAATAAGTTCTAACACATCAGTGTAAATGGTCAAATAAATGGTCATGTAAATGGTCAAAGTTCAACAATTAAAAGACAGATTAACAGTGGATTAAAAAAATGACACACTATATGCTGCTTACAAGAAATCATTTCAGACATAACAGTAGAGGCAGGTGGAAAGGAAAAGGCAGTTTTGTTTGTAATAGCCAAAAACTGAAAACAACCAAGATGCCCCTCAGTAGATAAAGTGGTTAAACAAATGGTGGTATATTCATACTCTGTAATACTACTCAGCAGTAGGAAGTAACTCTTGATACGTGCATGAACTTGACTAGATCTCAAGAATAAACTGGGTGAATAAAAAATTCAATCTTTAAAGAACACATACCATATGATTTCATTTGTATAACAACAGAATTACAGAGATGGAAAGCAGGTTGATGCTTTCTAGGGTTTAGGGATAGTTGGACTGAGGGTGTGACTATAAATTAGTAGCACAAGGGAGACTTTTGCTGAAGTGGAACACTTGTGCATCTTGATTTTGATAAGTGGTTAAACAAATGTATGTGTGATAAAATAGCGTAGAACAGTACACACATACTGTACCAATATTAATTTCCTGGCTTTATGTTGTGCTGTATTATAGTTAATCCAAAACGTGACCATTAAGGGAAACTGGGTGAAGAGTAAACGACCTCTCTGTGTTATTTTTACAAATTTCTGTGAATCCCTAATTATTTCAAAAAGTTTTAAAAAGCAAAGAGATAAATTATGAATAAGAAGAATTTGAATGTCTTCAATGCATTAATATATTTTATGCATCTTCAGGTACAGGAAAGCAAGTATCTTTAATGCTTATGTTAAAATTCTAAAATAGTAGAATGCTTCCTATTGTATGACTTTTTAAAATTTAATTTTTCTTTGTTTTGGCATTGTTTGTGCTCAGTCATTTCAGTCATGTCCAACTTTGTGCCAGCCTGTGGACTGTGGCCTGCCAGGCTCCTCTGTCCATGGGATTTCCCAAGCAAGAATCCTGGAATGGGTTGCCATGCCTCCCTCTGGGGATCTTCCTGATCCAGGAATGGAACCCTTGTCTCCTGCATTGCAAGTGGATTCTTTAGCCACTGAGCCATCTGGGAAGCCCTTTATTGGCATTAAAGAGGCTTATAATGAAGAGGCTTTGAATGCTCTTTAGCCTTTATTTTATTCTTTTTAGTGTGTTTGCTTCCTATTAGAGACCTGTTGGATTTATCTGTTGTTTACTTAACCCTATCACCTCTAACACAGCCTTATTTCTGTTTCCCACTTTTCCACTATACGTAAAATATTCATTTCAATTAGATCATTGTTCTGGTGTTTTAGTAGGATGGTAAAAACTATTCATATCTGAGATATGATTCCTTTTCTACTCTTGTACAACTTTGTTTTTTCTCCAGAATTAATAATTGTCTTATGTTCTTAACTTGCTTAGTTTTTTTAATATATCTTTGATTAATTGAATCCTACACTCTCTGAATTGTAAATATCTTGCTGTTCATTTTGAGTGTCAGTTTCCCCATTATCCTAATTTAAAGAAGGAGTTGCACATAGGTTTGAGTTTTAAAGCTTTGGTATAGAGAAAATTCACAATAGTAAAACTTCCTTGTAAAACCAAGGTGAATGTAAATTATCTTCGCTACTTTTTCTCTTTACACACATACAGTGTCTAGTTGTAGGTAGACAGATGCATATTTATTTCAGCTTAGGTTCTCATAGCTAAGGGAATCTTTAGATATTTTTAAAGAGTCTGTATCCTCATCAGTCTCAAACTTGGTAACATAGAGAAGTGGGGGAGAGCCATGGAGTATAGGCCAGAACACTTGGGTTCTAGTTCTGATTTAGTTGCTAATTCACATATTCAATCTAGGATAATGAGGGTAACCTCCTTGGCCTCAGTTTTCTTTTCTCTTTAATAATGACAGGATCAGACTGGATTATAACTGAGACCTCATCTATCTAGTTCAGATGTGATTTCAGATAGATACATGGTTTAATCCTGACTGTATATATAGAATATCTAAATTAAGAGTGTTTTCATTTTCACTATTTTGAAAGAATTACTCTGATGTTTTGAGAGAAATTGGATTAAATAGCCTAAAGTAATTTCTAAAGCATTGAAGAGATGGGAAATTGTAAGACAGAAGTGGGCTATAAGTATCATTTTTCTTGTACTTCAAATTATGGTATGGAAATTGTGGTTTTCAATTCCTAAAGGTCCCTAGGAAAGGAAAATTCTAAGTCATCTAGAACTTTTTGTTTACTATCCAGTAGATCAGATTTGACAAATAAAAGGTGCTCTGAAACACTATGTGGCTTTTATGGTGAGTTATTTAAATTATAGGCTATAGAAGCTTGAGGGCTTCCGAAGAGTTCTTGGTGGTCCAATAGTGTTTAGTTGATGTAACCAAGGGCAGAATGTACTGCTTTTCATTTGAAAATATTTTATTTAGTTGTGAATGTGATATGAGAGAGATTTCATATGTGGGATACTTCATTCCTTCTCAGAGGACGTTAAGGTGAATTACGTACACTAGGAAATCAATTTATAAGTTCCTTACTGTACCTGTTGTTATACTTTTGCATGTATTCCATGATGATAATATGCCTTTTTATGGGATCCTCTGAAAAGCAGATATGTAGTTTAATTTTAAGAACAGATATTTGTTCATTGGTTATTATTCACTAATAACATTTTATTGGTTTTCAGGTACTAGAAGAAGCAGAAGCTCAACACTTATATCAGTCCATTTTGCCTGATATGGTGAAAATTGCACTCTGCCTGCCAAATATTTGTACCCAGGTTGGTGGAAATGACTTCTTCCTCAGTAGTTTTCTTGAGCCTCACAATTGGATTTGTTTAAACTCAAATTATCAAGGTCAAAGAGAGAAGAGAGAGATGGAAACAGTTTTTGCCAGAGTGATAATTTTGCTCTACTAAGGAAAAGGTTAGAGGTTATAGAGAACACTGCAAGAGGACATTAAAAATGCAGCAGTCAATTTCTGAGCTTCAGTTTACAGTGTTGATGTTTGCTTACTCATACTTCTTTTTCTGTTTTTAAAACAGTCTTTAACTTTCAAAAAAGGATAGTCAGTATTTCAAAACATACTAATCGGTTTAGAACATTTTATCTTCAAAATGGTTTAATACCTGCACCTTCCTCTTCTCTCTCCCATTGTAAAGCAAATGAATTCACGGCACATTCTTTTTTCTCCTTTTTTATGTATGTGTTTTTTTAATTTTTTTTTTTATAGTGATAGAAGTCACATAACATAAAACATGCTGTTGTAACCGTATTTAACTGTACAGTTCAGTGGCTCTAAGTACATTCACATTGTTATGCAGCTCTCACCATCATCTATCTCCCAGATTTTTCACCTTGTAAACTGAAACTGTTCCCATTAACCATGGTACATTCTTAACTTTTAAAAGGAAAGAATCTGTATTGTTTTGTTTTCTTTATTGCTGCATAACAAACTACCTCAAAATTTAGCACTTAAAGCAAGAAAATTTTATCATCTCAGATTCCGTTGGGAGCTTGGGAGCAGCTTAACTGACTGGTTCTAACTGGGGCTCTCTCCTGGTTGCAGTCAAGGTGATGGCCAGCACTGCAGTCATCCTGAGGTTTGAGGCTGGAGGACCCACTTCTCAGTTGGCTCACTCACATGGCTGCTGGCAGAAGCCTTACTTCCTTGCCATGGGACTCTAGGTTGATTGGGTGTCCTCATGACATGGTTGCTAACTTTCCCAGAAAAAGCCACCGAAAAGAGAGATAGGAAGGGTCAGTGCCTTTTTTGAGTTTGTATCTGAAGGCACACACTGTCACTTTCTTTATTTTTTCCTTTTTATTAGAATTTTGTCACTCCATCTAGCTCATACTCTGCCTCTCAAGGTGGGGGATTATCAGAGAATTTGTAGACTGTATTTTCAGATAATTACGAGAGATTGTTGGTTTATTGTTCATAATTGTCCTCCTGTATTTCTCACAACAGTAGCTTGAGTTTGCCTCTGTCTTTCATTTCTAGGGCCAGCCCCTTGGCTGCATGGATGCTAGCCAGGTTTCTGCTAACACTGGTGATCCACAGGAGCCCTAGGGACAATTTGGGTGGAGCAGTTCTTGAAGGTGTAGGATGGTCCCACGCATTGCAATCTGTCATTGGAACACCCCAGAAAACACAAACATGGTCTTTGGGGGAACCAAAAGCCATGTCCAAACAAATACCTGGTTCCAAATGTTGAGTGTTTCTCATTTGTGTTTGTTAGCATTACACTGTGACATTTCCAGTTTTACGTGGCAATCATTTCACCTCATTAGTTCATTTTACATCTCTTCTTGTTTATATTGGAAGTTATTTGCTTGCTTATATCTCATGTTCGTTCTTTTCTCTTCTCCTCCTTGGTTTTTCCCCTAGGTCATAAAATTTCTCACTACCTCTTGGACTCTGCCTCTTATGAAGACTTTCCTACATCTCCCAGCCAAAGTTAATCATTCCTCTATCATTCAAATCATCCTTAGCACATTATTGTGTAATTTTGTCTTTATATATCTCCTTCCCTAGATTATATTCTCCATGAAGGGAGATCATCTTTGTCTTCCAAGGTCTAACATAAAGAAAGATAGCGCTAAGTCATGTCCAACTCTTGGACCTATGGATTGTAGCCTGCCAGGCTCCTCTGTCCATGGGGTTTTCCAAGCAAGAATACTGGAGTGGGTTGCCCTTTCCTTCTCCATAGTGCTTAACTAAATGCTTCTTTAATTCACTGTAGTTCTTAATTGACAGAATATAGTCTGTTTTGGGGGCTTCCCTGGTAGCTCAGCTGGTAAAGAATCCACCTGCAATGCAGGAGACCCTGGTTTAATCCCTGGGTTGGGAAGATCCCCTAGAGAAGGGATAGGATACACACTCCAGTATTCATGGGCTTCCCTAGTGGCTCAGATGGTAAAGAATCCACCTGCAGTGTGGGAGACCTGAGTCTGATCTCTGGGTTGGGAAGATCCCTTGGAGGAGGGCATGGCAACCCGCTCCAGTATTCTTGCCTGGAGAATCCCCATGGGCCAGAGGAGTCTTGCGGGCTACAGTCCATGGGGTCGCAAAGAGTCGGACACAACTTCGTGACTAAGCACAGCACAGCCTGTTTATAGGAATCACTTTCTCCTCTGCTCTTTCCTTCATGCTTTAGAGAGAAGGTGTATTTAATGGGATATGTATTCAAGAGCACCCAAGTTTGTAATCTATAACAAGTCAGGTGGTGGAGCGAAAATCAGATTCATGCTGTCATCTTCTTTCCTGGCTTAAAACTATTTGTCCTTCCATTAGTGCACTAAGGGGAGAACATTTTAGTTTTTGTCCTTTGTCCTCAACTAAAAAGTAAACCTCTGCTGTAAAAGTTACCATTTCAGTTTGTTATCCAAATATATCTTTGGCAAGTTAAATTGTGTATGTTGTTAATGAGTTATCATATTAGCATTCATAATAATGTACATATTAATGTTGATTCCTGTGATATGATCAGGACAGTTCTATCTGCCTATTGTTTTGAGATTAATGCAGATATCCAAGATTCTTTCTGGGTCTTATTGAAGGGAGAAGGAAAAGCACCTCTAAATATCATTGGAGCATTTTGAGATTTAACAACTGATAGGTAAATTGGCAGTTGGTCTTTGACTTTCCCAGCATGTCTTTAAACATACAGTTTAAACATTTAAAATAAAACCCACTGAACACAATACTCATGTAGAATATGCTAAAAATAAAAGGTAAGTTAACTTGGATTTGGTACAACTTGAAGACATATCAGACATAAAAAACTTGAGGGAAAAATGTCCTGCATCTTCCTTCACTTGGTTATGTAGGAAATGCCTATGTTGTTGCAAGTTACATGTAAATAAGTCTGTATACGCGTTTTCCATTAATTGCTTTAATAAAATTAGGTTTGGGTCTTTTAAATGGTCAATGTGAAGTGTGATTCAGAATTAAAAGGAAAGTACTTATTTATTGATTTATTTTCCATAGATCATTTTATTTCAGACTGAAATAGAAAAATTAGTCTGTCCAATAATCTTTAAATGAGAACAAAATTTAGCATATGCAATAATAGCCAACCTCAACGTTACAGTTTTCTCTTCCATCCTTTGTTTTAATTTTTCATTACAAGGTAATGTGTTTTTATTTCTTACTTGCTAAAGGAATCTTGTTTGTCACTAATGCAAGTAATGTTTGTGTTCTCTTCACTGTCGTTATTATTGATTAGAAATCTGCACTTTGTCAAACAAGTACATTTTCCCAATCATCCTTAATGAACTGCCCTTGACTTCAGCAGTATTGCTGATTTAGGGATTCAAGAGTGTCCTGAAATTATTCCTACCTTAATTTAGCAAATGCAATTTGGTGCCTCTGCTTTTGAAATTGCTAAACTAATTATTGCTCTTCTTGTCTGTATTTTTTGTTTCCTCTATCAGCCAATACCGCTCCTGAAACAGAAGATGAATCATTCCATCACAATGTCACAGGAACAGATTGCCAGTCTTTTAGCTAATGCTTTCTTCTGCACATTTCCACGGCGCAATGCTAAGATGAAATCAGAGTATTCTAGTTATCCAGATATTAACTTCAATCGGTACGTTTTCAGAGAACACCTTTTTAACAGTAAAATACAAAAGGTTGGCATTGAGTGATTAGCCAAACATTTTATGTACAATTATATAATTTAATCTTGATAGTAAAATGAGTTAAGTGATACTTTTGGCATTTTGCAAGCAAGATGATTAAAGTTCATGGTTACAAAACTTGCTTAGGGTCCAGGAGCCAGTAAGTGACAGAGGTAAAGTTTGAGCCCAGGTCTGTCTTACTCCAAGGCCCTTGTTCTTTCTACCCTATCAAGTTGTCCTTCCCTTGTAAGTGCCCTGGATTCTTTATGCCTATTTGATGTGATTATTTATTCACAGGATGTTTGTTGTACATTTTATTTCTTGTATGCTGAAATCATTTAAGGCTGCACCATGAGTCTTCCTTTCTCTAAAGTGAAAGTGAAGTGAAGTAAAAGTCGCTTAATCATGTCCAGCTGTTTGTGACCCCATGGACTGTAGCCTGCCAGGCTCCTCTGTCCATGGGATTCTCCAGGCCAAAATACTGGAGTGGGTAGCTGTTCCCTTCTCCAGGGGATCTTCCCAACCCAGGGATCGAATCCAGGTCTCCTGCATTGCAGGTAGATTCTTTACTTCTCTGAGCTACCAAGGAAGACTCTGTAAAGTGTGAGTTAGCGTTGACTTTCACTTTTTACAGACATGATTAATTTATTAATGTAATGTTTTTAAAAGAAAGACAAAATAACGTTTAAATTTTTATTAAAGTAGTACATTGTGAAGATATTGATAAAGTTTCAGATTCTAGCCGTTTTCCCAAATTATCACTTTCTCCATAACTTACACAGAAAGATTGTAAAATCTTCTTGGCAAATGAATATAACTTTTTTTCTTCCTACACCCTTCCCCTCACCCACCCTTCCAGTCTCAGTTTTTCGCATGAGAGTTATCTTTTATGAGATCTGTGAGTAGAATGTGAATTTTTCCCCGCTATCAGGAGCAGGCCTTCAGAAAACTGTTGGAATGTATGCTCCTCTTTCCCAGCCGACTATGTAACATCCTCCTCCATTACCTCCGTGTAATCCCCATCTCCTGCCCCTGAGGGGTGGGGCAGTAAGGACAGGGGGCAAAGGAGATGCAGCCATGGAGCAAAATTACATGACTTTGCTCAAAGTGGACAAAGTTCTGTTTGCTGTTCTGTATTTGTGTTCAAAGTTCATTGGCATGGTAATGCAACTTCTTTTAGTTTACCTTTTTGATGTTGTCTCATTAAAAACTTTATTTCAAATTAATTTAGACATGTAAAAAAGCTGCAAAAATAGTACTGAGAATTCCTGTATATAACTCACTTAACTTCCCTTTATTTTAATGTTATTATGTAACCATAGGAAAATTATCAAAGCCAGGAAATTAATATTGGTATAATACTGTTAACTTGGACTTCCCTGGTGGCTCAAGACGGTAAAGTGTCTGCCTATAATGCCTATAATTCCCTGGATCAGGAAGAAAAATCTCCTGGAGAAGGAAATGGTAACCCACTCCAGTATTCTTGCCTGGAAAATCCCATGGACTGAGAAGCCGGTGGCAAAGAGTCGGACATGACTGAGCGACTTCACTTTCACTTTCACTGTTAACTGACCTTATTTTAATTCCAGCTGTTTTCTGCTGTTATTTTTCTGTTCCAGAATCTTCCCACTATCCCCCATGGCATTTACAGTAGTCCCCTCTTATCTGTGGCTTGCTTTCTATAGTTTTAGTTACCTGTAGTCAACTGCAGTCTGAAAATGTTAAATGGAAAATTTCAGAAATAAAAAATTGATAAAGTTTTAAATTGCACATCATTCTGAGTAGCATGATGGAATCTTGTACCATCTCACTCCCTCCCATCTGGGACTTAGATCATCCCTTTGTCCAGGATATCCCACCTCTTAGTCACTTAGTAGCCTGTCTTGGTTATCAGATCAACTCTTAAGGTATTGCATTGCCTGTGTTAAAATAACCCTTATTTTAATTAATAATGGCTCCCAAGCACATGAGTAGTGATGATGGCAATTTGAATATGACAAAGAAAAGTTGTAAAGTACTTCTTTCCATGGAATTGTGAAAGTAAAAGAAATTCATGCTAGTTTTGCTGTTACAGTCACAAGTTATGGCCACTCTGCCTGATGAGTGCTTAGTTAAGATGGAAAAGGCATTAAATATGTACAATAGGATATTTTGAAAGCAAGAGACCACATTCACATAACTTACTATATTGTTATAATTGTTCTACTTTACTATTAGTTATTGTCATTAATGTCTTCCTGTGCCTAATTTGTAAATTAAACTTTATCATTCAGTGTATATGTATAGGAAAAAAATATGTATACACAGGGTTCCGTACTGCCCAGTGTTTTAGGCAGCTACTGGGGAGTCTGGGTTTCTCTGCAGGTAAGTGCTATAGTTTTCTAAGTCTCCTCTACCCTGTTCTTCTGTTTTTCCTTTTCTTTCATGATGTTGACACTTTCAAAGACAACTCATCAGTTATTTTGTAGTATGTTCTTCAATCTGGGTTTGACTGACATTGTTTTCACAAGTGGAGTGAGGTCATTGCATTTTTGACAGAAATTCAAGAGAACTGATGTTGTGTCCTTTTCTGTGCATCGTATCAGTGGGCTCTTGATGTTGGTATGTCTTACTGCTGGTGATCAATGACCTCACTGAGGTGGTGCCTGCTTGGTTCTTGCACTGTACAGTTACAGACTCTTCCCTTTGGGATTAATAAATATCTTGGGGGGGGGGGATTTGTTGACACTATGCAAATGTTTGCATTGTATTTCTCACCACTATCTTTAACAGCCATTGGTGGATCTTGTCTCTAACAGTTATTACTGTAGTGTTTGCCTATTGTGATTTTTTTATTTCTCTCTTTCCTTCTACATTTATTAAAGTTCTATTGTAAAGAAGAGCTATCCCTTCTTACCCAATTTTAGTATCAAAATGGACTTACATATATTTTATTCTGTGAGTTAATATTATTCCATTTGGCCATTAGAGCTCCTTCAGGTTGGCATCTGTGTTCTTTTAAAAAGCCCCCAACCTTTTTTTTTTTTTTTTAAGTTTTTTTTTTTCACTTTCTGGCCTCATGAGATGCCAGGCTCATCTTATGTTTTATATTACCCAGCTGTAGAATCAGCCAATTTTCTCAAGGAATCCTGGTTCTCCTTTTATTGGAGAATGGTACTTGGAGACTAAGATCTAGTTTATAGGTTGCTCAATGTTACTAGAGTGTCACTGTTTCTTCTTCTTTTTCCATTTTTTTCTTTTTTCTGGCCAAGCTGCACAGCTTGTGGGATCTTAGTTCCTCAACCCGGGATCAAACCCAGTGAAAGCACCAAGTTCTAACCACTGAACCCACCAGGGAATTCCCATAGAGTGTCACTGTTTACAATGCCACTTACTTTATATAGACAGCATTTCTCACAACTCCACAAGCCAGTGGAGAAATGGAGTCACAATTCTTTGCAATGACATAGAAAGTTATCCCAGATGCTTCTCTCTCTTATGAGGAGAAAAATTCTAAAATTTATCTTATTAGTACTTAATATAAATTTTTATTAAAAAGTTGATTGTATTTTACTTTATTTGTTTGGCAAATGAAAGTAAAACATGATTTGAATACAGGAATACTTACTATGCTGTAATAATTCTTAGACAATATTTGTAATGCTTTCAAACATTAAAATATCAATGAAAATCTTTGTTTTTGCATACAGTTTTTTCACAGCAGTACTAAGGAGAAGTGAGACAATAAATAATAAACAATTTGAATAAGAGAGTTTCTTTAAAATATCAGTAAGATTGTATTCATTTTATATCATATCTTTGGTTGTGTAAATACCACTTGTGAAGGGCATGTTTTTAGCCTGATTTCCCAAATTGATGTGTTCGCTAATTTTAAGAGAATAGTATTTAGTCATTTAGTTTAGTTCATGTATACAGTGAGCAATTACAGTGTTCTCCACAGTGTGTTAAGTACCTTTAGGTTACAAGAAAAGGGACAAGCCAGTTTCTGATTTCTGTACCCTTCTTTCCTTCACATGGCTTTTATTCCTCTTTTAAACCTTACCTGACACATGCCTGTTTCTGATAGCTCTTGTCCTGCCGGGATAGATGTGCTTCTGCTCCGGCTTGCTATAATAGCCTGTACGTACATATGTTGTATAAAGCGGGAGTCCCCACCGCACTAGGCCACAGACTGGTACCGGTCCATGACCTGTGAGAAGCTGGGCTGCAAAGAGGAGGTGAGCAGCAGACAGGTGAGCAAGTGACGCTTCATCTATGTTTGCGGCCAGTCCCCATCACGCACGTTACTGCCCGCACTCTACCTCCTGTTAGATCTGCGGTGCTGTTAGATTCTCATGGAGTGCAAAACCTCCTGTGTGAGGAATTTAGGTTGCATGCTCCTTATGAGATTCATCCCAAAACCATACCCCTGACCAGGTCCATGGAAAAGTTGTCTTCCACTAAACTGGTCCCTGGTGCCAAGAAGGCTGGGGACCACTGATATAAAGAATAGGTGCACAGCATTGTGACACTGTATTAGAGAAGGGTATAATCTAATAAGGAAAACCTTCCTTGAGGAAATATCTTTTGAACTAAGTATGAAAGGGTGAGCAGGTGTCTTTTTACCCAGGAAGAAAGGAAAGCTGATTGCATTCTGGGCAAAGGGACACAGCCTGTTCAGGAACTGTGGCAGGCTGCACACAGCCTGCCGGGGGCTGAGAACGCCAGGGTGGCTGCAGCCTGGAGACAGGAGAGGCTGCAGAAGCAAGTTGAGGCCAGTGGGCTGTGCTGGGGAGGCCATCCTAAGGCAATAGGAAGTCATTAAAGGACTTGATATAGGGGGAGAGGGAGGCTGATGCACTTAATTAGATTTAAATTTTGAAACATTTGTTTCGAAAGGGGGACCAAGTGGAGAGGGGCCAGATGTGAGTTTACCCAGTTGAGGAGACTACTACAATGCTGCAGGAAAGAGAAGATGGTAGCTGGAATA